AGAGAGAGAGAGAGAGAGAGAGAGAGAGAGAGAGAGAGAGAGAGAGAGAGAGAGAGAGAGAGAGAGAGAGAGAGAGAGAGAGAGAGATTCACATATGGTTCTGCCAGGCACCCTCAAGATCATATGTGGAACAAGTGAACAGCCGAGCAAACAGGAGGGCAAGAGAGAGAGAGAGAGAGAGAGAGAGAGAGAGAGAGAGAGAGAGAGAGAGAGAGAGAGAGAGAGAGAGAGAGCTTCACATATGGTTCTGCCCAGCACCCTCAAGATTATGGATAACTCTGGCAATTGGTGAGCGTCTGAGTACTGTATCCAAGAACAAACATGCCAGCTTTTTTTTTTTCTTCTTCTTTTTTCCGACCTAGAAATATCCGGCAAATTCAAAGAGGGGATGCAATTGACGACGGTACACTAGCCGCAAGCAGCTTTCATGATTTTGCAGCATTTTAGTCCCCAGACGCTCCACATTTCGCAAAACCAAAAGAAACCAACGAACCAAATTTATGTCCCATTTGTCTATCTGTGTAGTCGCCTTTTCAACTGGGCAGCCTATTCGTATCTGAGCCAAAAAAGCGCGCTAGTGTTTTTTTTCTTTTCTTTTCTTTTAAATCCAATTTTGCCATCGGCGTTGCTTTCATTCATCATATATGCGAAGTTAGGTGCCCGACAGCAGCGTATGACTGTTTTTTTTTTTGGTTTAAAATTTAAATCCATAACACATATATCCAAAATTTAGTCTACCAATTGTCTCCCTTTGCGGAAAGTGCATATATGCAAAACTTACTGATGCCACCGCCATCTCTTGATTTATGCTCCATAGCCGAAGAGTCTCTTCGTCGATGCTTACGACCTGCTCGTGCTTCGAGGATGGAAACCATAACACACTTCCAAGTAAGGCAGCTCCATCAGCACTTTCAAAAACTAAACCTCTTATAGACTGGTTCTTTTTTAATCTTTTTCAGATTTTTCTTATTTTCTTCAAACCACTTTTCATTTATAAAAGTCTGAATCAACACCCTTGTGCAATGACCTTATTAATCGCGACCCCTTCTTGTGCAAACTTTGCAATTTCAACAAACTGAGGCCATTTCTTTGCCCCTGTCTTGCTTCCCCACCTCCACCAGCTCTCATTTGCCATGGATAACCCTCCCCCCCCCTTCTCCCCCCCTCCCTGCAAATGGTCATATTTGCAAATGTCCATTTTGCATGGATACCCCTTACAGATGACCATTTTACATAGATACCCCCTGCAAGTGACCATATTGCATGGATATCCTCCCCTTGCAAGCGACCATATTGCATGCATACCCCTTGCAAATGACTTTCCCTCTGCAAAGTCCCATTCCCCAAATACCGAAAAGGATAAGAATTAACATAAGTACCCCCCATGGACTCCTCATTCCTTCACCCTTTTTTTTCTTCTTTTTTTTCCTGTCCCCTCCTTGTGCTTTTCCCTGGTCATTTTGGTTGCATCCGGATTCGAACTCAGACAGGTCATTTTGTTGTAACAACTGAGAATACTCAAAATTTCCAAACCCATCAGGGACTTCCGATCGGGCTATGGGGTCTCACTCGACTACGCAACACTCCACGAGCATTTGGATGCTTTCAGGTCCAGGTGCATTCAGACGAGTCCAACGATATGAAATTATGATGAATGCATCCGGTCCATAAAACGTACAAATGCATGTAGAGTGTTTTGTAGTTGAGCGAGGGCCATATTCTACTTCTGCATAAGAAGCCTAAGACTCCGAGGCGCATTAACCACACACATACCAGCAAATGTTTTAATTACCGCCCATTGGCAAGCATCCATGGATGCATGGTCACTGCATGGTCAGGGTCTTCGGCCTCTTAAGCAGTTTTAGGCTTTTAGGCTTTTAGGCTTTCAGCCTTTTAGACCTCTTCAATGGGATCCATGTGCGAGGCTATGCCCGCTTAGCCCTACGGGCCTTATTTGCAACAAGATCGGCCGCCCTAAGTGAAGGCAGGCACGACAGGCCCTCAGGGCCTCGTTTTCAGGGTACCCCCGCAAATGGGGAAATTCAGGCAGTTGCACAGCATCAGTTGGTTGAATGAACTCAGGCCCTGGGCCGCCCGTGTGAATGAATGTAAAGCAGGCCCTGGGCTGGGTACGGGTACTGGGCCAAGCACAGGCCGAAAGCAGTTGGGCACATGCAACTACTTCAGGCCCAATGCCTGCATTCCTCGTGACTGGGCCTCAGGCTACCGGGGCCTACTGGAAGCTTCKTGGACTGGACGCAGGCAGGCCACGGGGATATAGGCAAGGGCCAGCCTCCTCATTGGACATTCGGGTACTGGCTGCATGCGGCGAGAGCGCTGCTGTTCTATTTGCTGGCTGGCGCCCTCGCACTCACGGGCGAGTGTGGAAGAAGCAGACAGCCATAGCCACGCTGCCTGCTGTAAGCTGGGTTGGGCGCAGGTTGGTCCTTGGGTGCTAGAGGCATCTGTGCRGTGAGGATCGGGGTTGAGAGCRAAGCGGGAGTCATACCTGGTGCTTGAGACGAGCGGCATTGGCCGCATATGCTCGTACTTCGGTGAAGCTGTTGACGTCAACTTCGGCATTGTAGTAGTAGGCTAGATAGGATCTGCCATCTTGTAGTCCGGGC